TTATGGTGGTGTTTAGATATCTGGAAACGCCCATTTTCCCGGACAACGACCTGTATATTCTGCCGTTGATGAGGAATGTGTCCAAATTTGGTATGGCATCTCATCTGCTGTGGGGCCTGTGGAGCGTCATTCGAGCGCCGCAAGCGCCGACTTATGATGACTTTGACTTTTTAGTGTAGGAATATGCTCAGGTGTGGGCTTTGGGTGGGATGGGTTATTGAACAGGTACGCGAAATTCCGTTTCGACTCCTACTTCCGTATGAAGAGTATAATCCTGGCTCATGATAAGGAGGCGGTGGAGGAGGAGAAGGAGGATCTGTTGAAGGAGCAGATGGAGCGTACGAAACGCAGTGAAAAGGTAGGTGCTGGGGATAGAACTTGGGATCTGTTGGATGGTAAACGTGCCCTCTTCCATCACGCTATGTTTCCACTAGTTTTGGCTTCAGATGATCTCGGACATGCGACCGTACATTGGTTTCTTCCGTGGTATAGAAATCGGTGCCGTTGCCCTGTCCATTGGCCTTTCCCTCGGTACGGTGTTCGCCATTCTTAACTACCGCCCAAGAACACTGTGATGAGACACACTCTCTAAAATTGTAAACCTCATATTTGGACGATTGCCCGACATAGTTTCTAATGCTAATATATTTTCTGTAGTGTCGCCGCTGGGATTCGAACCTGCGTGTAGGCGATATCTCTTTAGTTGGCTTGCTTTTCAACTGTTGCATGTCCGCACAGCATCATCAACAACAACGAGGAGTGGTGCCGCCCAATACGCGGGTACGGCAAAATCCATTCGCTACTCAAGAACAGCCAGCAGGGGGGAGCTCATCCGGATGGTACCGGGTGCCGGGATCGAACCTGGGTCGTTACATTAGGCTCTTCAGGTATCAGCAGACTCCTACTATGCAAGCAACACCATCCACGTCAACTCCTTCTGCTGCTCCGGCTCCCGTTAGTGGTGGTGGGGTAACAGCGCCGTGGAACAGGGTCCATGCTCCTGGTATGGAGGCAGCTCCTCATGCTGTTGGTAGGCTAAGTCGTTGGTGGTCCACGCTTTTGAGTTGGCTGCAGGTCATCCGAGTGGTAGTGGTGGTGGTGCTAATGC